GAGTGAAAACATATGGTATCTGTCTTTCTCTGTATGGCTTATTTCACTTAGCATCACACTCTCCAGTTCCATCCATGTTGCTACAAAGGGCCATATTTCATTCTTTCTCATTGCCACGTGGTACTCCATTGTGTATATAAAACACAATTTCTTTATCCATTCATCAGTTGATGGACATTTAGGCTTTTTCCATAATTTGGCTATTGTTGAGAGTGCTGCTATAAACATTGGGGTACAAGTGCCCCTGTGCATCAGTACTCCTGTATCCCTTGTCTACCCCCTCACTTTCAATCTACAGGTGTCTTTAGGTCTGAAATGAGTCTCTTGTAAGCAGCATATAGATGGGTCTTGTTTTTTTATTCATTCTGTCACCCTGTGTCTTTTGATTGGAGTGTTTAGTCCATTTACATTCAAAGTAATTATCAATAGATACGTATCTGTTGCCATTTCATTGTTGTTTCTGAAATTTTTCTCTGATTCTTTCTTCTCTTTCTCTCTTTCACAGTTTACTGGTTTTCTTCTTCCCTTTTTTTTTTTTAAGGTTTATTTACTTATTTTGAGAGAGAGAGAGGGAGGGAGAGGAAAAGAGAGAGGGAGAGAGAATTCCAAGCAGGCTTCACACTGTCAGCAGAGAGCAGGATGTGGGACTCGATCTCATGGACCTTGAGATCATGACCTGAGCTGAAATCAAGAGTTGGGCACTTAATTGACTGAGCCACACAGGTGCACCAGTTTTCTTTAGTGATGTATTTGGATTTCTTCCTCTTTATTCTTTACATGTTTATTAAAGGTTTTAAATATATGGTTTCTATTAGGTTTGTATCTAATGTCTTCTGCATATAGCAGTCTGTATTCAGCTGATGATCATTCAAGTTTGAACCCTGTCTTTTTTCCTCTCCTCCCCATATTTTAGATATATGTTATTATATTTTATTTGTGTGTGTGTGTGTGTGTGTGTGTGTGTGTATTTTTGAATGTTTATTTGTTTTTGAGAGACAGAGAAAGAGCGCAAGGAGGATTGGGCCAGAGAGAGAGGGAGACACAGAATCCAAAGCAGGCTCCAGGCTCTGAGCTGTCAGCACAGAGCCCAATACAGAGCTCAAACCCACAAACCATGAGATCATGATCTGAGCCCAAGTCAGAGGCCCAACTGACTGAACTACCGAGGTGCCCCTTATATATATATTATATATAATATAATATATATTACATGTAATATATATATATGCGTAATATGTATATGTAATATATATCATAGATATATATAGCATATATATATTATGTATTAATGTTTATTTATTTTTGAGAGGGAGAGAGACAGTATGAGCAAGGGAAAGGCAGAGAGAGATGGAGACACAGAACCCAATGCAGTCTATGGACTCTGAGCTGTCAGCACAGAGCCCGAAGTGTGGCTTGAATTCATGAGCCATGAGCTTATGACCTGAGCCAAAGTTGGATGCTTAACTAACTGAGCCACCCAGGTAGGTGCCCCTTATATTCTTTTATTTTGTGAATTCCTTGACTGATTTTTTACAGAAACATTCATTTTTATTGCTTTTGTGTTTCCTTCCTTTATACTGTCATTTTTGGTCTCTCCACTCAAAGAGCCCCCTTTAATATTTCTTGCAGGCCTGATTTGGTTGAACTCTTTTAGTTTTTCTGGGAAACTCTTTATCTCTCCTTCTGTTGCTGGATAGAGCATCTTTTGTGGCACATATTTCCCATTCAGCACTTTGAATATACCATGCCATTCCCTTCTGGCTTACAAAGTTTTTGTTGAAAAGTCTCCTGTTAGCCTTATGGATTTTCCATTGTAAGTAACTGTCTTCTTTTTTTTTGCTGCTTTAAAAATGTTTTCTTTACCACTATATTTTGCCATTTAATTACAATATGTCTTGGTGTGGGTCTGCTTTTGTTGATTTTGATTTGAGTTCTCTGTGCCTTCTGGATCTGGATATCTGTTTCCTTCCCCAGATTAGGAAATTTTTCGGTTACTACTTCCTCAAATAAATTCTCTGCCTCCTTTTCTGTCTCTCTTCTTCGTCTGGGACTCCTATACTATGAATGTCATTGCATATGGTGGAGTCACTGAGTTCCCATTTTGCATGATTCTTTTTTCTCTCTTTTATTCAGCTTGATTACTTCCTATTACTCTGTCTTCTAGGTCACTAATTCATTCCTCTTCTTCTATCAAGTGTGTTTCTCATTTTGTTTATGAGCCCTTTATCTCTGCTATATTATTCTTTATCTTTGTGCTAAGGGTCTCAACTCATGTCTTCCACTATTTTTCTTAAGTCCAGTGATTATCCTTATGATAATTGCCTTAAATTCTCTATCAGTAATGTTACTTATATCTGTTTCACTTAGATCTCTGGTCATGGCCTTGTCTTCGTATTTCATTTGGGATAAATTTCTCTGTTTCCTTGTTTTGTCTGCCTCTCTGTGTCTGTTTCTGTGTGTTAAGAAAGTCAGCTATGTCTTCTGATCTTGAAAGTAGTGACTTTATGAAGAAGAGGTCTTGGAGTGCCCTACAGTGCAGTCTCCTCTGTTCACCAGAACCTGGCACTTCAGGAGAATATCCTATATGTGCTGCTATGTGTGTAGTCTGCTGTAGTGTCTGAATCACTTTTCCCTTCAGTGCAGTTGTTTGCACTGATTCTCTGCCTGTTGTGGGCTGTGCTTGCTCTCTGTGGTGTTAGTGGGGCCCAGGCAGGGTGGGCATGCCTGCCGGGGAACTTGAGAGCAAGTGGTGGTGTTAGCAAAATTTGTGCTGGGTCACTAGTTCTATACTGGATTTCCTGAAGCACTATGGTGGCTGGGGGCTGCGTGCTGGTGTTGCTGGGGGCATGAGGCTGGCCATGGTATGCATCAGTGGCTGGGACTAATCTGAACCCGGTGGCTGGGCACGGTGAACTGCGATGGCTGGGTACTGCATCTTTTTGTTGTAGTTTATTTGTTGTTTTAGTTTCCTATTGCTAGTTTGACAAATTACCATCAATTTAGTGGCTTAAAACAACATGAACTTATAGTTCTGGAGGTCCGAAGTTCAAATCAGTTCCATTCTGTTAAAATGATGGTGTCAGCAGGTGTGTATTCATTCTGGAAGCTGGAGGAGAGAATCAATTTCCTTGTCCTTTCGAGTTTCTAGATCCTACTAACATTCCTTAGCTTGGGCCCCATCCTCCATCTTTGAAGCTCGTTGGTTTAACTGCTGCTTTTGTCCTTGAATCTCTCTCTAACCCTGATCTTCTTGTCTCTCTCTTATGAGGACCAAGGTCACTACATTGGGCTCATCTGGATAATCTTGGATAATCTCCCTATCTTAATCAATTGCAGAGTCCCTCTGCCATGTAAGGTAACATGGTCACAGATGGATGTGGACATTTTGGGGGGGCCTGTTTTTAGCCTACCATACTTGTTCTTATAGATCTATTGAAAATGACTAGTTTTTCTGTGTTCTTATATTTGGGTACACTTTGCCAAACTCCATTATTTGCATGTGTTTTTCTCTTGTTTTCAAGTGATTTCATATTTGTTTTCAGTTGATTCTCTTAGATTTACTGGAAGTTGCGTTATTCCCTTTCTTCCTGGTATTTATAGCTCATTTTGTTCTTGCCTCTCTCCATGTCATCTAGAATCTCATAGCTAATGCTAAATAATAGCTATGAGAACATGCATCTTTGTATTGTTCTTGACTTTACTAGAAATTGCTTCATTATTTTACCAGCAAGGATGGTGGTTTCTAATAAACACTCTTAAATTAAGGAGTTTCTATCAAATTAAATCTTAGTTGACTAAGATTTTTAGTCAGGAACATGTATTAAATGTGTTAACCATAATGGATATAGAAGTAACCATGTGGCCTTTCCCTTTTAATCTATTAATACTTTCCCAATAATGATCACCTCTGTATTCCTGGAATAAATCTTCCTTGATCATAGTGTATTGTTCTTTGAAGGTACTGCTGACTTATGTTTACAAATATTTTATTTTAGGTTTTTGCATTTATAATGATAAGTGAGTTTGGCATAGTGTGTTTTGTAACTGCTTGCACAATTTGGGAATTGTGGATATCCAGTCATCTTGAGTAAATTGGGAAACTTTCTACCTTTTTGTATGGTCTGCAACTTAAATAGTATTGAGGTTATCGGTTTTTGAAAGTTTCATAAGTATAAAGTTCCTTGGACTACTGCTAGTTATCTTTAAATTCTGTACCCAGTAGTGAGATTCCATTATTCTGAAACACCTGTACTTTCTTACCTACTCTGTCTTACAACATTTGAAGTACAGCTTGTGACCTGTGGAACAGGTTTTCTCTGGGCAAAGCTGCCCAATCCATAAAGAAGGGTCACATCTACCAATGTGGCTTCATTCATAGGAACCTGTCAGGCCAGGGGTTTACACAATAAAGGCTTGGTTCCCTTGAGACTTTTCTTTTTTTCAGGTGCTTTGGGAGTTGTCTTTATGATTTATTAATCATGGCAGTGTTGCTGTGAAACTTCTTAGCAAATCGTTTTTCAGTTCCTCAAAGAAGAGCACTTCTCAATGCTCTGCTCAAGTGTTTTGTTGCTCCCTGCTCAGAATTTGAAATTGATACTTATCTGTATAAATGAGGTTGTCTAAGCCCGAATTGCAGCTTTAGGTTAGTAAACCAGGGGAGTTTGCAGTGACTGGATTTAAGTAATTTTTAAAAAGGATCCTCTGATTGGGTATCTTTTGATTTTAAATCTTTCATCAAGATTGAGTTTACATAAATGTAAAAGTGGTGTTTCTCAGACTGCCACCACTAATTTCTAAATTAAAGTACTACTGAAATTGTCTTGTGTAAGTGATTCCATGACAAGATAGCATTCTATTTTTTAGATTTTATTTTTTAAGTAATCCCTATACCTACTGTGGGGCTCAAACTCATAACCCTGAGATCAGGAGCTGCATGTTCTATAAAAGGTAGCATTTTTGTATAGAGTGTAAGTTGATTTCTCATTCTTTCCCCTCTGCAGTAAAACAGATCATCAGTAACATTTCAATATTTAATGAAACCTGCTTGAGATGGAGAAGTACAAAAACAGCTGATACAGAGGAGATGTATTCAGTAAGTTACTCTATGTATAGATGTTGTCTTGTGTGGGAGGCTTAAAAAATATCAGTGAACCTAAACATCTACTTCTACAGCTGTGATTATCAATGGCGGATTGATAGTGGCAATTGCAAGCACAAGCAAGATGATGGGCACTTGTGGTGCATATTTGAAGAGAGAGACCTTGGGGATTGATGAGTAAGTCATGAAAGTTTCTTTGGGCACGTAGCCCGATGCAGAGCTGATGCTCACACAGGATCCGTGGAAGGAATCCATGGCTTTTGCATGTGTCTCTGACCAGGGTATGAACATATCGTCTAGGGAGTCAAGGGGAATTTTTGAAGCTAGATGCGGTTGTGAATAAGAAAGGTAAAGCCCGTGGGATGAGCTGCTACTAGAAGAATTTAAGTGGGCAGAAAAGTATGTGTATTGGCCCCTGTACTGGGATATTCCAGGAAAATGGAGGGAATGTCAGAAGGGGACAGGCAGAGGAGAAGAATCCTGCCGAGGTTTTACCAGACCAGCTTGGAGTTTCCTAATTCAGGTCCTGCTCTGGAGAAGGCTTAGTTCAGATTCTTCTTTCCTTTTTTCTTTCTTTCTTTCTTTCTTTCTTTCTTTCTTTCTTTCTTTCTTTCTTTCTTTCTTTCTTTCTTTCTTTCTCTTTCTTTCTTTCTTTCTTTCTTTCTTTCTTTCTTTCTTTCTTTCTTTCTTTCTTCGTTCATTGCTTCCCTCCCTCCCTCCCTCCCT